TTGGGGGGCATAATTACATCACGTACGTAGGAAAAAAAATTTAATAGTTACGATAAGCCAAACAATAAGGTACATGTATTAAAATTGATGACCAAATTACTGTAAATCATACTTTGAGCTACACTGCGGGTAGAGTTTTGTTTCTGGTGGGTACACAAGCTCTCCATCGTTCGATCTTGAGCGATTTGACCTCAGTTAATTTGGCAGCAACGTTCAGTGAGTTGATCAGTGTGTTAATCTTTGTCTTACAGAGAACTAGATGAGAGAACCCGAGATGGTACAAGGCCTCATCTTGTTCACCATGAGATTCTTCTTTTTCTTCTTTGCGTTCTCTTGCTAGATCTCAGGGGTAGTCGATGGCTGGTTCTTTATCCTGCAGTGCAACAGACTTAAATGTTATGTGACTGTTTTTCCTACTGATCAGGGCCCTTTGCCTTCAGTCAGCCACATTCCAATTTTGAAACCTCTGTGATTAGGGCCCTTTGCTTTCAGTCAGCCACATTCCAATTTTGAAACCTCCGTGTGTTTTCATACCGACTCAAGTATTTTCAGTTTTGGCAGATTGAATTTTGAGTAGGTGGCAGCCGAAGCATATTCTATTGATTTCAGGACCATCAAGCGATCTATAACAAAAGGGATTTGGATTGGAATCTCCTCGATTTTTTATCCTTATCCGAGAAGGCTAGGCGTTAGATCTTACCTACCCTAAGATCAGGGGTGTGGCTGAAAGACAATAGTGTGAAGGAGCCAAGAGTAGCAGCAGAAAGAGTCAGGAGGGAGTCAGGAGGGAGTCAGGAGTAAAGGAGTAAAAGAGCCCAGAAGAGGGGGGGGGCGTAAGTGGAGATGTAGGCAGATGACAGAACAGGTCATGAGACAGAGAGAGAGAGTGTGCGCTGAAGTCTAATTGATTAGACACGAGCAGAAACAATTATAATAGACAATTAGACGACCTGTACATCAAACTTTGACACAGAAAAAAAAAAACAGAACTGCTAGGGGTGACAGTTTCCTGTACTATCAGTCAAAGCAGGGATGCCACTCAACACTTTTTTTTAAATAGCTGAAAATCCACGCGCCACGGTCTTGCTAACATATGAATATCAATTTGAAACCCAAAGGGTGCACATAGAGAGAAATGACAAACAAACATAAGCAATGGATAGAAAGAAATGACAAACATTTAAAGAAAAATAGATTAGATGTTGTTTTTTTTCACTATAGATTCTATCTCGATCTCAATAACAGAATAGCGGATCTGATCCGATCAGGATCAAAATACCGGAAATACCGAAAAAAAGCGGGAAAAGTGGCATCCCCGGTCAAAGTAATGACTCAGATAAATTCGTTCAGAAGGAATACGACATGTTTCTGCATTGATGAACAGAGAAATTAATCCAAGGACAACACATTCCAACACATAAGAAGGCACACAGGAATCTTGCTGTTTGGGTAATGTAAACTGTAACAAAATATACAAGCTGCCATCTGTAGAGATGCTATAAAATAACACTTACACAAGAGCATACATCCTGAAAGCATGTAATACACACCTGAGGTTTCAGTCATTTCTTTTAGTAAAGAAAAAAAAAATTCTGTTGTTTCTTTTCCTTTTTTTTTTGGGGGGGGGGGGGGCGCATGTAAAGGAACAAAAATGAAACAAGAAAAAGCTGCAAGCCATTTTCGAATCAGTCAATGCATTACAGCCGCCCACACATGCCAAGTTACTGACACAGAGGTGGAAGAAAAGGTAACACAGAGAGGAATGTGGAATCAACACCATCTAACAAGTTCGGGGGGAAAAAAGGAAAAAAACGAAGAAAAAACTACCTCCCACATTGGGCTCTTTTCAGTCTTACCGTATCTTACTGTATTCTTTTTAACACTTTGCAGTCACACAACCAGCAGTGCAAAATACCCTATCTGGTCACCCAGCCAGGAGACTGACTGCAACAGACTTCTCGGGCCTGGCACAGAACTATGCCAGGTGACCGAAACGGATAATTTTCACCAGCGCATTATTGCGCCAAGTGACAGCAAAGTGTTAATAACATCTCTGACACACCTTGTAGATATCGTAGACATTCTGTAGCTATATATAGCCCAACACGGAGGATATGTTGACCTGGAGCTGTGCTTGTGGACCAGGACAATATTGTGCCCACTAGTGGATGATTTAGTCATTTTGGTGGGCAGCGGAGATAAAGAGTTAAGAGGCCAACCCAGTAGAAAGATTAAAGTGTTCTATGATGTAGACTTTCCCACAAGGGAAACAAACTCACATCTTTTGCAAAAAATGGCGAAAAGATCAACAATTACACCAATCAAAACAGTTATCACTGCCTGAGAGGCTGGGGGGGGGAGGGGGGGGGAATGCTTCGTGAAAAGAAAAAAGGGCTGCACATTACAACCAGATACCCGTGAGGAGAGAAAGAACGGAGGACAAAGAGAAGTGGAAGAAGAAAGTCCAACACACAAGATATTTAAATTTAAGACACATACATACATCAAAAATTGAGAAAAAAAAATCATCCGAAATCACATTCAATTCAACAGAACTTGCATAATGTTCTTTCCATTCTTATACTTTTCCGATCCAGCGGCCATTTGGGTTCTAGCCCTTCGGTCTGATTCCATTCTTAGAAAAGATGGGGTTGGATCGCGACAAGGCGTTGAAGACTTCACAGCAAGATTATGTGATATTATTATGCTTTGCCCATTTCAGTCTTTCTCTTAGAAATTTATAAATCCTCCCCCCCACCCCCCCCACCCCCAAACCTGGGACAGACAATGTTCCGAAAGGAACACACTTTGCCAGATACAAATATACACATAACACTACACACACTCACTAAATCACCTGAGCAAAGTACTCTCAAGACATTACTTTTTTCCTTCCTATCTTTCAAGTTCAGCTTTTTAGAGAACTAAATCTGGATCGCTAACAACAGAGAACTGAATATCAAAACCTGGGAATGCATTATATTATCTTGAGAAATTTGTACTTTTACTAAAAACATATTTAGGGCTAACTACTGCGCATGAATGAAAGGTGACAAGCATAGCTTCGAAATGTGTCGCGACGTACTGCAACCAGGCCCTGGTCGATTTTTCGGTAGATGAGGTTATTAGTATATCGTCTTAAAGTTAAAGCACGTTCATTTTTCCTGTTTTTGATAAGACAATACCCATCTACCTTGAAGAGAAATTGAAATATCTGTGGTTACTGAAGGCAGGGGTCACTGATGTCAGAGGCAAAATTAGCAAGAGAATGCCCACCACAGTTCAGTGGTTTCTAAAGCTTTGAGTGTTTTTGAAAACTGCAAATTTACATTGTTAGTGTCTTTGTTCAACGTTTTCTGTAAAACCCACATAGAAATGTGCTTTTGAATAGGAAAAAAAGGTGTTGTTGTTGTTGTTGTTAGCGATCCAGGAAAAAAAGGTGTAAGGCCAAACAAAAAAAAAGAAAAAAAGATGAAAATTGCTAGATGGGCAGAAAAAGGTCAGTTTCTTTGATTTCGTTATTTCGATGAGCGCCTGATTTCATCTCCATGCCACACAAACTGGCCTCTATACGATGTGAAGGACGGGAAAAGGGATATGTACGAGTGTGTGACCTGCCCCCACAACCGGGACAGCAAACAACAAAACTTTTAAGTACAACACATAAAATCTACTAACAACAGCATCTACTGACCCTTCTCAGTCTTAACATCACAGTCCTTAAATCAAGAAATCCTTACAGAACTGTTAAAATCATGTCACCATGTCTCTTCTGATTGGTTGTGGCTTCTCAAGACTTTGATCAAATATCAACACCTGGTCAAATTTTTGTTTTATTACCTCCTTAACAGCCACCCCTCATCCAATTTCTGTTCAAAAAATCAAATTATAAAGAAAAGTAATAAATGATCTAATCGCACAGATTCTTGTTCATAAGCTTTGCTTTTAGATACCTGTGACCTTGACACAGTTCTGCAATGACTAGATTACAAAAAAAACCCACACAACCACACACACAGTAAAACCTCATTACATTACATTCAGAAGCTTTGAGGTTCGTGAAATGTGAAAAGGCTAAACCCAGATTCATATATAATCAGCACTGAAAGTAACAAGATATATATACGGACTCACAGTTCTATAGCATCTTACATAGTTCACTGAAGTGTGGAATTTGCAGGTTCAACACAGAGATTTCAAAAGTATATGTATTTCTGCAAAAATCTTGTATAAAGTGTCTATTTGACATTCATTTTCTTATCATTGTTATTTTTATTTTTCCATTTTGCACTTTAATCTCCAGGTAAGTAAACCTCTGTTACCGCATGAAGTTAAATCACAAAGTTAGCTTTTCTTTTCTTTTTCTACTTCAAGTGTTTAGGGTAAAAGACACCTTGACAGGGTTCGTCAACTTCTATTGTGTTGTGTGTGTATGTTAGTCAAAAAACTGCAGTAAATCCGGATCCATCATAATTATAATGGGGTCATATTGTACTCACTCAATGAAACATATCGACTGCATATAATGTTAGACTCCTTCATATGTCACTTTTTCAAACATCTTATAAATGTCGCAGTCTTACACTAACCAGTCGATATGAGGGAACAATCTAATATGTGAGGCAGCGCGGTGAAATCAGGCGCTCGGCAAAATAACAAAAGTACCGTAAGAAAATGGGCATTTTTCCGCAGGTTTGAGAATTTGTATTGAATTTTTGTTTTTTGGCTCAACCCTTTTCATGCCCTTTGAAAAACACATTTCTGAGTGGATTTTGCTGAAAAATGTTTATTAATGGTATAAAAGATGTAAATTTTTCGGTAAGGAAATAACTCAACTTTGTCGGCCATTTTCTCACTAATTTTACCACTGAAACCTGGCGACCTCCACCTTCTTCAATCGCCAATATCCTGACTTGTATCCAAGATAAATGGATACTTTTTCATTAAAAAAACAAGGCATATGGACAGGCTTCAAGATGACACCAATAACTCCATACGCCCCAAAAATTGACGAGCGCCTGATCCTGTCATGCTGCGACACATATATATATATATATATAATATATGTGTCTCCCAACTTGTATCTGGCATCACAATCCCATTATAAATAATCTTCTGAAATGACCCCCGCCCTCCACAGCACTCATAGATGAACGTGTCCAAAGTAAGTATCCAGATAGTGGAGACAGGTGTCCTGCGAGAGCCACACGTTGAGGTAGGTGTAGTAGGACAGCACCCCAATACCGAACCCACACACCACGTCCAGGATGTGGTGGCGACCCAGCAGTATCCGAGACGCGCTGACGCTGAGCGACCACATGCAGACGACCAAAATGTACAGCGGGTTGGACAGCATGTGGTTGCACAGGAAGAGCGCCATGAACGCCGCGCGCGTGGAATGTCCCGAGGGGAAGGAAAACTTGTCCACAGAGGGCGCTGCGAACATGTCCATCACGTTGTGGCTGGGGCGGGACCTCCGGAACGTCGCTTTCAACACGCCCACCACGATGAGATCAAACATGAGAGCTGGGGGAGAAAATAAAGTGAAATAAGCATTATTTGAGTCTAGAAGTATCTTAACTTGATCAGAAACAACCACAATTTAAAACCCACTTTCCAAATTTACACACAACCACCCCGCCCCCCATACCTCTATGAAGGTGAAATATAGTTGTTTTTATTTTAAATAGATATATATATATATATAATATATATATACATATCCCCTCTTCTTTCTTTCTCATCCTGCCTTCTCTTATGATTCTAAATACAAAAAAGTGTATAACTTAATCGGTTAAGTATTTTTAACAAAATAAAATTAAACTAAACAATATGACACCTTTTGTCTTATAATAAAGTCGAAACCTGCTGTAAATATCACCTGTCCAAGGCAATCACTTGAACAAACGGCCACTTCCCACTTCCCTCGCGGCGTTTTAAAAAATATTATATAAATGACACCGACCAAGTCAACCACCTGTCTTAGACCACTGTTTTTCTCCTCGACAAAGGGTCTACTATATATATATATGTGTGAGTGTGCCACATGCTGACAAAATGAGTTGCTTCTCGCGATCCACAAAAATGGAGATATTGGCCAAAAATCGACACTTGGGTCAAATTTGTAGATTTTCTATTGATGCCACAGTATAGCAAGCCTTTCATTATTTCATACTTATAAATTGTAAAAACTTCCCCTATAAGAGTGATGTACCAATTTCCACAGAGCTCCAATCCGAGAAGTAACTCATAATTTTGTCAGCACGTCCCAGATAATTGAGTAAGTGCCTCTAAGGAACGAGTAAAGTTCTACAAAACTTAATAATAATTTAAATAATAATTGCATTTATATAGCGCATATCCATGCTCAAGAACTTGCTCTATGCACTTTACAACCATTATTACCCCAGCAGACCCTCTGAAAACACTCAGAAACATTCTCGGCTTCCGCGGAAGCATACAGTGCAAGCTGCAGATTTCACGCGCTCAAACACTATCAAACTGACAAGATCGTTCACTGTCTATAGCCGGGTACCCATTTCCACCTGGGTGAAGTGAGGAAAATTTGTGTAAAGTGCCTTTCCCAAGGACACAACGTGGGGTCCCTGACGAGATTCGAACCCACGACCTTACGGTTGCGAGTCCAAGAGCCTAACCACTAGGCCACCGACGCCACTTACGAAATAAAACTTTTTCTAGACATTACTGTTCAGCTTTGGCGCTGACCAATGAGCGTAAAGGTTTTTCCTGATTACCACCCCTTGTTCCTATGCGATTGCAACAAAATTCTATAATGGACTTTTCAAGCTTAAAATGAAGTTCAAGCACAAAGCACAGAGGTTCAACCAAAATAACAACATGCAATCACAGTGTGTGTGTGTGTGTGTGTGTGTGTGTGTGTGTGTGTGTGTGTGTGTGCGGGCGCGCACAAGGGTGTATACATCACTGTATATGCCCGTAAACTAAGTTCATGTGAGTGTGTATCTGCGTGAGTGAACGCTTTTGTATTTGT